TATCTTTCCAGATCTTACCCTTGCAGTGTTTTTTTTTTTTTTGCCTATCACCTTCCATTCTAATCACCCCTCATCAATTTTTAAAAATTTTTAAATGTTTAGCTTCTATGCACCAGTAACAAGAATGTGCCTAATATGTTTGTAACTTCTAAAATCATTAATAATTCAAAACTGAATCACCTATGACATTGCATGAACATTAAGTGTTCATAAGAGTACAAACCAGGACTTACGCTACACATTGAAAAAAAGTAATTATTTCAAACAAATATAGTTCCAGTGGGAGGCAATCGTACCCAATGGAGTGCTAAATTTAAGAAGACTGATAATGTCAATTGTCAGTGAGAATCTGGGACAACTGAAACCCTCATACTTTGCTAGTGAATGTGTAAAATAACATAAACACTTTGGAAACCAGTACACATTTTGTTTTCATAAAATCAAATAAATTCTTCCACTGTGACTCAGAAATTCTACACTTTTTGTATTTATAGCCAAAAGAAATGACAAGAAATGTCCAAGAAAACAACTTGCATGTAAATGTTCTCAAAAGTTTTATTGATAATAGAATAAAACTGAAAATAACCCAAATGCCCGTGAAAAAGATAACAGATAAACAAATTTGGTTTATCCATAAAATAGAATACTGCTCGGCAGCTGAAAACAAAAACAACCAACCAATCAACCAACGAAACAAACAAAAAAACCATTGCTGATAGAACAAAGCTATGAAATTCTAACGATTTTTTAACTCTCCTGAGAGAAAGAAGTCAGGCACAAATGTATACATACAGTATAATTCTATTTATATAAATTTGTGAAACCAGCAAAACTAACAGATGTTGAAGAAAATGAGAATAGTTGTTACTGGAAAGGAGTCCTGATCCAGACCCCATGACAGAGCTTTCAGATCTGATGCAAGAAAGAATTTGAGGTGGGTCCACAGTGTAAAGTGAAAGCAAGTTTATTCGAGAATTTAAAACAAAAAAATATGGCTACTCCTTAGACAGAGCAGCAGCATGGACTGCTCAGTTGCTTAAATTTATTACTTGTTGATTATATGGGAAACAATGTATGAATTATTCATGAGTTTTCTGGGAAAGGGGTGGGCAATTCCTGGAACTGAAGGTTGCTCCCCTTTTTAGACCATATATGCTAACTTCCTGACATTGCCATGGCATTTGTAAGCTGTCATGGTGCTGGTGGGAGTGTCTCTTAGCATGCTAATGCATTAGTGTAAAATGAGCAGTGAGGGTGACCAGAGGTCACTTTCATCACCATCTTGGCTTGGGTGGGATCTGGCCAGCTTCTTTACCACATGCTGTTTTATTAGCAAGGTCTTTGTGACCTGAATCTTGTGATTACCCCCTATATCATCCTGTGACTCAGGATGCCTTAACCTTCTGGGAATGCAGCCTAGCAGGTCTCAGCCTTATTTTACCCAGCTCTTAATCAAGATGGAGTCACTCTGGTTCAAACACCTCTGACACAGTGATTGCTTCTTGGGATTAAATGAGAAGAATGATTACAGAATGTTCTGGAGGTGAGTTTCATGAATGCATGTATTTCTCAAAACCCAGATCTACATATTTAACTTTAACTAAATTATACCTTAATATAAAGATGATGCCAAAAATAAATATGACAAACTAAAATAAGTCAGATGAAAGCTTGTATATATGACACTACAGTTATACCCCACAGCCACAGCATCTGCATAATGGGATTGAGAGAAAAAAACTTTTATGTGAGGAAAGTCAGCACCCTTTAGTTGTCAGGCTCAGAGAGACATTGAAATGCAGAAGCAGTCCACATCACACTCCCCTCTTGAGCTAAATAGTCACCTCTTGAAGCCACTTGCTTTTTGGGTTCTAGACTGGCACTAAGTAGCCATAAAATGCCATATACTGGACACCATAAGCTTGTACTCCATGGTTCAACAATGTGTAGCCAATCACACCATTGTTATTTCTGTGCCCAGTTAGAATTCCTGTCAAACAACTTTGCATCAGCCCACTCATTGTCCCCTTTTTTCCTTTAAAAACATGCTTGTAAGGAAGGCCTGATGGAGCACTCCCAAGGCAACATGGAAACATTTCCCAGGCTGCAGTTGCCAACCTTGGACCAAATAAATGCTCTATAACAGTGTTGCCACGCTTTCTTCCTTCAGGTTGACAGGTCACATATTTTTTACCAAAAATAGTTACTTTACTTTTAGACAGGTACAAAGGCAGTTTTGGGAAGACAGAAGTAGGTATATTTGAAAAATTTCCCCACATTAAATCCACGTGTAGCTCCATTGGGATGAATATCAGACAGTCTCTTCTTCCTCATCTTGCTCCTTTTGGTTCTATTGTCATTTAAATAGAAATCTCTTTTGTCCTGTGTTCTGACTTCCTCTCCTACCAGTTCTTACTGTATTCTGGTAGTTGGCTATAATGTTTTCACATTCATGGTGGTGTTTTTTGAGCCTGAAGAGTATTCAGAGATTTCTTTATGGTAAAACAAATGATGCAGGATTTTTCTCAGCCCCTTTGCCAAGCTTCCAGCAGGAGGTGCCCTGTTTACCCCACCCACCGGGCCGTGTCCAGCTTGTGCTCTAGCCCATGGCTCTTACAGCTACTGCAACTGTGTGTTCAGCCCCTGGCAGGTAGTGGTGTGTGAAAGAGCAAGTGCAGGGTCCAGTCAGCTGTTTGAAATGCCAGCACAATGATGAACTCCATGCAGGACTTGCTGCTGGACCAGGCATGTTTCCCCAAAAGGAATGTGATGGCACCCAGGCAGGGGTGCACATGACCCCAAAGAGACTGGAGGGGTGTTACAACATGCTAATTAACTCTTTTAGTTCTACCATCCACAGCCTGATAGACAGTGGCATGTTAGCACAGTCAGTCCCTTTCCCTGCTGTGGCCCACAGCTCCAAGGCTGGCTCAGCCCTGCCATTGCTTCCCATGGTGTAGAGTGGCTGCCCTCCTCTGGAGGAGAACAGATGACCACAATGTTACAGCTGTCTGAGTACCCACATTTGTTGGGTCCTGAATTCTTGTCCCCCATCCAAGAAGAACGAGGATATGCTGACAACCAAAGAGTGAGGGAGGTGGAGAAGAATTTTACTGAGTAATGGAACAGCTCTTCATGGAGAAGGAATCCAAAGTCAGGTGGTTTCTCTTCCAGTGTGGCTGGGTCTGGGGCTTTTATGGGCTCAGAATAGGGGAGTGCATGATGATTGGCTTGTGACTATGCAAAAAATAGTTAAAACAAAGGCACCACTCAAAAGTGGGCACAACAGTGTAAAAAATCAATTAGAGAAGGGTAAGTATATATAAAATAGGTGAAGGGTGGGAATCAATCAGAGGAAAGTGCACCAAATGGGAAGAGAGGTTCTCAATCCAGTCCTTGGATTTACCTGGGACTTGCAGCTAGGCTTTAAACTCTCTTTGGCTTGAAAGTGTTGTTTCAATGGTCACTCACCCCTGTCTGCCTAGGATTTGTCTATGTCCTGCCACTATCATGAACACCATTGCAAAGTATTTAAAATTCTTTACAATGGAGCATCAACCAGGCTTTTCTCCTAATAGGGCCCTTCCCTCACAGCAAACTATGAATAATTATCTGTCACTGTCTTACCAAAGACCACTTCCCTCTACAGGTGAACAGAAGTAAAGAAAGTGACAAAAGTAGGTTGGGGTGACAAAACAAAATGCTTTCCTGCTGTACTTACTTCTGATATCTGAGGAATAATTCTTAAGAGAGCAATGTATTACAGATCTCAAGCTGGCTCCGAGAAAATGATGCAGTAGGTTTCTCAGTCTTTGGCATGTCTCCAGACTCAGCCTTGTTTGTCTCTCCTAACATCTCACCTTTTCTTTCCTGGGCTCCCAAGGGCAGGCTGCACATGTCTACCAGTCCCTGTGAAAGTGTTAGCTGATAATTAAGATGATAGCTGAAGCCTAAGGTGTTAGCTGACACAGTTTAAGGTATAAGCCTCCTGGTGAATTTACACTTTAATCAGGGACTTTGAAAGGTGAAATACTAATTTTGTTCTTTCCATTTTCAATGCTCCATCTTTAATATTATTTATTATGAATATTCATGAAGAATATTCAACTCATGTAATTAGGGTGAAATAAACATATTTATAACTAGATCTATCAGTTCCCATAATCTGATCCTCTTTCCACCTGCACTATTTATGAACAACATTCAAAACAAAACAGTGGCCAAAAAATAGATATATGGACCACATCATGCAGAGCTACTTATAATTGCCTTTATTTCCTTCAGTCAATTCTTTCAAAAGTCAAAATGACTATCAGTAACCTTAATTGATATTTAAAATTGAAGCATGGCCAGCATAGGATTCTTAGCTCCTACTAATATGAATAAAATTGGTGTGATTTCTTAACCAAAGAAAAATGGCACAAACTTGCCAGACAAGTATTTTACTGACCTTGTTCATATTTATTCTAATTGATTGCTTTCAGGGAAGAAAATATCATAACTTTGGAGGGTGACAATATCTTTGATCATTTTAAAAGTTTTACTTCATTTCACAAACTATTCTTCTGTAATTTTTATGGTTTTCTCAGTGTTACATCTGGATAGTACACTTTCACTAACTGTATGCTTTCTTATATTCTGTATTTTATACAGTTGTTGGTATACCACTTATGACCTTTCCTATCAAGGTAAAGCATTGCCAAGATCTTCATATAAGATAATTTCTAATCAAGTCATCCTTCTCCTTTTCATCTGAAATGATTTTATGTTTTTTCATTTAACCTATTTCCAGTTATCAATACACACATTTTTTGAGATGAGGTTTAGCTTTATTGCATAAGCTAAGCTAGAGTGCAGTGGCACAACCATAGCTTACTGCAGTTTCAAACTCCTGGGCTCAAGCAATCCTCCCACCTCAGCCTCCTGAGTAGCTGGCACTATGGGTGCATTTCACGAGGCCCAGCTAATTTTATTTGTTTATTTATTTATGTCTTTTGTAGGAATGGAGTCTTGCCATGGTGCCCCAGCTGGCTTTGAACTTCTGGGCTCAAACAATCCTCCTGCCTCAGCCTCCCAGAATTATCAATATTGAAAGCCAGTTACTGATGATAACATAGGTAAGACTGAACTATGGCTGAACTTCTACATTAATTAATGAGTGGGAAAATTAATGAGTGGCAAACCCCTGAATCTTTGTGCTTCGAGTTGAGAGGTTTCATCTGGCATCGATGCAAAAAGATGTATAAGAGGCTGAAAGTTATTAAGGGCCTCAGTGTTAGCAAGGCAGAGTGGAAGCAGAAGGATATACATGGGGTTGGACTAAATGCGATATTCATGCCGTTAGGCATATGATTACCTGTGGATGAACTGTGTAACAGATCCAAAAGTTTGAATGACTGTGAGTATAAAAGAAACACTGAAATCTAAGGATAGTTAGAAGAGGTTTAGAAAACAGAATGAATTCAAATGGAATATACTGAGGTTGAGTTATCAGAAATATATTTAGAAATATCTTGAAGATGATGTGACATTTTAGAGGTGACATTAAGAGAATACATATGTCTAGAGAATTATATTTCAGAATTTAAATTAGTAGAATTGAGAAGTAAGTTTTTGTTCCCAAAAAGAGGATAAGATGAACCAGGAGTGCCAGTGAACAAAAAAAAAAAAAAAAAAAAAAATGAGAAATATGCAAACATAAGAAATGGGAGAAAGGAATGATGACCAAAGAGATTAAAAAGGAGTAATCTGGGAGGTGGAGTGAGAACTAGTGTCACATATTTCACAGAAAATGAGAGTTCAGAAATATTAAAAAGAGATGTCATGTCTAGTATTAACAGCTGTCATTAATATGCACTAGACCCTTTACTAAGTAAGTACCTTATCTCATTTAAAGTTCAGAACATCTCTTTAAAATAGAAGCATTAGTTGCACAAAGTTGTAAGTCTCAGAGTTTCCTAAGGGCAACTATTCAGAAATTAACAAAGTTGGAGTTTGAATCTTAGGGCTGTATGAATGCGATGTAACCACTTACCTACATTATCTCAAAAATTGACTTTATGCTAAGATTGAGAATGAAAAAGGGTCAAAGTGTTTGTTAACTAAACAGTGATCTTTGAAAGAGTAGTTTGGGAATATCTATCAGGATAGAAGCTTAGTGACAAATAATTGAGATGTGAATGCACAGTAGACATTGTAGAGAGTGACAAGAAATTTGGCCCTGAAATAGACAGTTTGATGGGTTAGCTGAGTAGAACGAAGGAAATATATTAAATGCTCTTTCTCTCTCTTTTTAATGATTAAGGAAACTAGAAAATCACTGTGTGTTAACAGAATCATTTTACATTTGTAATATGGTAGTTCTGTGGGTCATCGACTCAGAGATGAAAGCTGACACAATTGAATAGCAATTTATGCTCACTGATGCATCACTGGGAAATGACCTAAATTAGATAGCCCTTGTTAAAAGTAATTACATACATGACATTAAAGAAAGTGAAATGCTAAAATACTAGGCAGAAATAAAAATGAATTACATTAATCTTGGAGAAAATACTGCTTGTTGTGTTTAAGAAATATTAGTATCCATAAACTTTAGACTCTATCACTTCCTGGCACAGATATATAAGTTATAAAAATCTGAAAATATATACATATTCATATAAAGAAGCCTGGGATGGTGCCTTTCAAAATTAAAAGAAAATGACCAGAGCCTCAATTTTATTTTTCTTCTTCCAATATATGAGTAATTTTATAATAGTGTGATATATCATAGTAACATCATTCAAAGCGTGTCTGGCTGAGAGCCACTATTAGGGCACTTGTGAGTAGATTTGTAAAACTGATATTTTGATTGAAGGTTCTAATTAATTTGACAACATTATCCCAATTTTGAAGAAACTAAACATATTAGAGTATGAGATAGAACATTGGTGTATTTTGCAAAATTTCAATTGATATGGCCCACAAAGGTGGAAGAAAATTCATTATTTATTAATATTTATAATATTATTTTTCTAAGGGACAGAAGACACGTACTTTTTCATGCTGGGGCAGCTGGCACTTAATTCAAACACACTGTCCTTCACTCTAACACATTGATAGACATTTTGACACAAATAATGCACATTTTTTAACACCTTCAAATATAAGCATACACACAAAACACATTAAATGATTGTCTATAGGCAGTGTATGGGCCAGGATACAAACACACACACACAGACACATAGAGACACACACACACATACACACTTCTTTTGTCTCGGTGTGGCCATGTGACCTAGTTATCACTCGGTAAATGAGAGTAGAAATAAAATATGCACTCACTAAAGGGCCTCTTCTATCTATAGGAAATGTCTCTTTGGGCTTTCTCTCCTTCATGTGGATATGCAGTCACCCAGTTCTGACTATATAGAAGACACAATTACCTTGGAAAGAGCAGCCCAATAGTATGGAAAAAATATTCCTTGAATGTCCTCAGGAAAAAATGTTTTCTTTGTAGCCTAGACTTTACTGACTGTTATAGAAAGGAAAGAAATAATAATAATAATAATATATTGTATTAAAGAAATAATAATAATAATATATTGTATTGAAACAAGCTTTATTCTTAGTTGAATCAGAATTCCAAGGAAAGAGACTGAGATGTGTTTGCCTTGTCGATGATCACCAATAACAATGACATTCACATGCAAGGCTGAAAGTTTTGCACCATTAACTGTCCCCAAGAAAGCCTGATTGGAAAGTATTATTAATTGTAAGTTAGAACAAAATAATCTTTTTGGAAAGGGCTGCAAATAATCTAAAATCTTCCATTTTTCTTCTTAATTATACAATTTTTCCTAATTTACACAAATTTGGAAAAGAAAATTCCTATCCTTGTTGCTCAAGATTCTCATTATACACTCATCCCACAGGTAGCCTTGCCCGGCTCAAAGAAGTACATTTTATTTTATAAATATACATACTTGCATATGCAATTTCCCATAATAAAATCATGTAAGTCATAATATTTAAATAACTTTTTTTTATTCACAAAAATATTATGGACAGATTCCATGTTCAGTACATATAGTTCTACCTCTATTTTTTGTGGAAATGTTGCTTAGTATTTTATTCTATTCCTCTACAAATAGTGGAATAGCCATTTATCATGGTTATTTAGATTGTTATTGGTATTTTTCTGTTACAATATATGTTTCAACAAGTTGTACACAGGTGTGTATATAGATTAATACGTATTTATGTACTCAAGCTACTATTTCTGTAGCTAGATTCATAGTATTGTTATTCTGAATACGGCAAGCATAATTCATACTAAAATCTTCCCCCCCGAAATGTTGGCCCCACAAATAATATATTAGAACGTCCATTCTCTACACTCTCACCACTAGATGCTAGGTTTTCATCTTCAGAATATGATTAAAGTTCTTGCAAGTGGCCAATATCAGATACAGATACACATGACATCTCTAAGTAAAAAGTGTGAGGAGAATTATTTAAATATGCAAGTTCACTCAGATAACATAAAGTAGGGTAATGGTTACTAACAGTTGGTGTGTGTTATATATAGTTAACTTTCAGTTAGGAAGCACAGTAATTACATTGCCCCTTTTTAACCTTTCAAAATATATGTAATGTAAATGTTCTCTCTTTGTCCATATTGTTCCCTCTAGAGGCATCAGATGGTGTAATTTGGATTTACACCATCACAGTAATTGAAATATGAATATATTTGAATTGCTTTCACAATTATGAGGCTTGAATTTAATTATTTTTATTAAGATGGGTAGTGGGATACAATCACAAAAATAAACAATATATTTCTTGCTGTTCATGGCACTGTGTCAACTACTATGCAGCATGAAGCTAATACAGAGGACATTACGTTAATTCTCAAAGATTTGCATTTGAAATTCTTTAGGATAAAAATTAACATGGAATGAAGTTGATTGTGATTTAAAATAATCTCATATTCTTTGATTTAATTCTATTTTTCTTTGCTACTTTTCATCTTTTTGTATGCAAGGGTGAGGGACTAATTGATTATTTTCAGAAAGAGTAAAAGAGAAATGTCTGTAAAACATGATGTAGTAGAGTAATTGAGAAGCCTCAAGTGATGTAAAGCGAATGGGGCTTTAAAAGATGACACCTAGAAAACCAGATTTTCCCAGAGTCTGAACTACTAGAATAGGAAAAACTATACAGAAAACAGAATAGTGAAAATGTGTGCAATAAAAATGAAACACACCATTTTATCACCATAGAAATCAGACCAATAATAAATAAATATTCTGTGAAACGCAGGCTTTGCCATTAAGATATCAAAAGCCTTTAAACCAAGTGGCAAGTTCTTTATAAGAAATGAAAGCAAATTCCAGATAGAGGGTATTTTTCAATTTAAAAATTTATAAGATCCTATGATTCCTCACACAAATGTAATATGGTGCAGAACAACACCAAATTACCATTCTGCCCTCATCCCACGCCTGAGGAGTACATTACTGGTAGGAAGACAGGTTTCAGATAATATCAGAGAAACATATAGAGTAAATGTGCGTGCAAAATTCCCAGTTGTGCTTGTTTAATTAGATGCTGGTAACAGCAGCAAACAATAGTAAAGAAGGCATGGAAACAGAGTGTTAATGAGATTCAAATAAATCAGATATCACTGTTGGACTACAGATAAAAGACAAGCTCCAGTATATGTGCATTTTAATCAGCCTGATCACAGTTTTGATGAATGTGCCAAAGGGACTGTTCTTTGCTCTGTTTTCACAGTGAGTGAAAGGCAACAAAAGGAGCAGTTTTGATTTTTACACTTCCTGACAGATGAGTCATATGGGATTAATGTTGGAATTCATTAAAGCTAGAATTCTACCTAAGGATCATATTTCACAGGATATATACATTACCATTTTATAAAGGTGACATTTAAGAGTCTGGTTAGCTATTTAACAGATTTTGGCAATTGGAAAGGACCTAAGTATATACACATGATATTACTAAATATATATGCATCCATAAACACACAACACCAAAGTGTCCTACATTGCTTAGGAAAATATTCTGAGCCATACACAAAAATACATCAATTTTGCTGCTATTAAATAAA